CCGCATCCTTCCGTTGGCCCAGTGGCTGGAAGCCATAGTCCCCACCCGGGGATGCTGGGAGAGTCAAAGCGTGTCAGCCAGGCTGCAGGGAGGCGGACTGCACCTGCGAGCGAGACGTGGGCCTAGACTGGGTAGAGAGAGGCTGCCAGGCCTGGCTAAGCCCTGCAGGACGGAGTGGGCGGTGGGGACCCACACCATCTGCTCTGGTTACACACTCAGTACCCAGCACTGCTCTGGGTCAGCAGAGTGGGCAGCGTGGCCAAACGGCTCAAGAAGCCCCGAAGCAGCTGTCAAACCCAGTGCCTGCAACGCAGGGCCAGACCCTCGTAGCTTTCGCCTCAGGTGTCTAGACGTCCGTCCTCCAGTGTTTGGGTACCCAGAGGAGCGAGGCCAGACCAGGCATGACACAGGCTCCTGGGTGTGAGGTGCCACCGCCACGGCTTGGCCCCTGCGGCCTCCAGCCCAGCCTATCCGAGCACATCTTCCCGTGAGGTTGACTGCGAGCCGTAGACCTTGGCGTCTCAGCACCTGCACATGTCGCGCGGAGGGGACACCTAGAGCCTGTGGATGCAGGGTGTGCCGGCACGTGTGCTGCGTCACCGGACAGCCCACAGCTGTCTTTCCTGACTCGTTCTCGTGCCGGGGAAGCAGTCAGAGCTTGAAGTCCCGAGCCAGGCAAGGGCGGAGCTCACGCTTTGCACACCAGAGCCCGGTCCTGCGAGGCAGCCTGTGCGACCTGTCCCCTCCTCTGCTTTGGGGTCGTGGCGTAGAAAGGCCAGGGCGGGCTGGCTCTTCCCCAAGGAACAGCGTGTGGGTCAGCGGAGATCCCGGGCGCGAGTCTCCCACACGGCAGGGCCTGCTCTCTCTCCTGCCAAGGTGGCGGCTGTGGCCTGTGTGTCTCCCCTGCTTGCTCAGACGTCTCTGCTGGCCCCAGGCCAGCACCCCCGGCCGCTCTCGGGTATCCACAGCCGAGCTGAGCAAGTTGGTGTCCTGCCTCGTGTTGATGCCGCCTGAAGACAGCCCGGGCTGCTAGTGCCACGTCGCTCCCATGGTGCCTCCTGCAGGCTTTCCTGGTTGGGGTGACCCGGCTGAGCTCTGACGGGCGGCCTGGCATCCTGAGCTCAGGAGGGCGGTGACATGCTCACGGAGAAAACGTGTTAGACGTGTGTGGCCCGGCGTGAGCTCTAGTGCCCTGAGCTCAGGGATTAAGACCAGCCGTGTGCTGGACAAAGCACTGCAGGCAGACCTGCCCCAAGCGTGGCTGTGGGGCTGGGAGGAGGAAGCTCCCTCCAGAAGCTCGCGGGAACCTAACCCGGCATCGCTGGCTGGGTGTTTGCTGCGACTCCGCAGGCTGACCACTCAGATCAACGGCAGGTGACCAGGACCTGCTTCAGTGACGTGCGAAGCCATGCAGAGCATCCCTTACTCGGAGAGGCCCTCTGCCAGGGCACCAGGGCATAGGTGATGGAGACGGAGGACGCACACCACATGTGGGCACAGCCGTGGGCATGCCGTGACCAGGTGGGGGGCAGATCGCCGGCTCAGGGTCTGCACAGAGCGTGTGGGCACAGCCATGGGCGTGCCGTGACCGGGAGGGGGCAGATCGCAGGCTCGGGGTCTGCACAGAGCGTGTGAGCATAGCTGTGGGCATGCCGTGTAGGGGGATCTCAGGCTCAGGGTCTGCACAGCACGTGTGGGCACAGCACGTGTGGGCACAGCCATGGGCGTGCCGTGACCGGGTCGGGGATTGCAGGCTCGGGGTCTGCACAGCGCGTGTGAACACAGCCATGGGCATGCCGTGACCAGGCAGGGGGCAGATCGTAGGCTCGGGGTCTGCACAGCGCGTGTGAACACAGCCGTGGGCATGCCGTGACTGGGTGGGCCATCAGAAAGGAGTGAAAGGAGCTGTGGCAGTGAGTGGGGGGAGGCTGGGCTGCTTGTCCTTTGGCCGGGGAGAGATGGGCCCCGCGGTTCCAGAGTCCTCTGCGGCTTCCATGGGGTTGCACCTGAGGCTGCAACACCAGCGCTC